CTTGAGTCCATGAAGGAGGAAAAATGAAACTACGGTGGGTGATATCGTACTGAGAAAGGGCTCCCTTGGGAGAAACCATTCATGCCAAAGACACTGCTTCTTACTGTCTATCAGAAAATCGTGCTCCTGGCCCTCTAAATGAAGGCAGGAACTCATTCTCTTTGCACTCTCTTTCTTCTTCTTCTAAGTCATCTAACTTCTCACAGTTGACAGGTGCATTAGATCACAAAAATTAACACAAGGTTATAAATAGGCAAAGGTGTAATGGTTGAGTTGACTTGCAATTGTTGGGGTGGATCACGACAGTTCTCCACATTTTTTCGTTGATTGTGCAAGTGAAGTCGAGTTTGGACTATCTTTACGTAGGCGTCTTTTGCTGCCTTTGCGCGTTTCAGTTCCTCTAAACTCTCCTCCACCTTCATTATTTCCTCGCTTAACTAGAAAGGAAGGAATAAAAGTTATGGACAAAAGGAAGACATAAGTGATTTGGATGACTCAATGTTACACTAAACGGTTTGTGCGATAGACTTACCTCCACGTGGTGCACCCTGGGCAACGTATACTCATACGACAAAAAAGTCTATTAATCGGCAGTTGACTTCTGACTTCATAATACCATGGCATGACTGTAGTGCAACATCTCAAAGATAAGGTTTTAACCATCATCCCAGGCTATGGTCATTTGTGGCATTGAAGTTGTCTTCTCTTTTGTTGCAACGAATGATGCTTACAAGTCAATCGTATTCGATGTGTCCTGATACCTATTGCTAACTTATGGAGCTTGGATTTCGAATGATTGTGTAATTACACGATTTTAATGTTGCTTGCGTGGAATTTTAAGGAAGACTAGTTAGAACTATTAGATCTATGACTACAGACAAGTGAGAATCCACAGACATTTGCCGAATTATCTACTTCCTTATTGCTCTCATTTTTAGACTAGACATGTTCCTCAGAATACCGTCTTGTGGATTCTGCTTTCAAGGTTTGAGGAGGAATCAGGTAATATGACAAAGGCTCGGTCAATTCTCGAGAAAGGACGTTCAAAGAACCCTAAAGAGCCCAGTCTTTGGTTAGTTTAGTAATTCTTAGAATTCACCCTCGACTCACTTTGATTACAAATCTGTGATTTTCGTTTGATCAGGTTGGAGTCAATTAGATTGGAGATACGAGCCAATCTGAAACCAATGGCTGATTCTCTCCTTTTCAAAGCTCTTCAAGAATGTCCAGACTCGGGCTGTCTTTGGGCCGAGGCTATACTCATGTCTGCTCGGCCGCAACGCAAAATGAAATCAGTGGATGCTCTAAAGAAATGCGAATATGACAACATGGTCCTTTTGGCTGTTGCAAAGTAAGTTCCCAGTTACATAGTCTTGATTGATTGCCCATGAGGCTTTATAATATTTGCGTGACTTTCTAGAATGTACTGGGTGGAAGGATTGATTTCGAAGGCTCGTATTTGGTTCATGCGTACTGTGAAGCTGGAATCAGATCTTGGCGACGCTTGGGCTTACTTCTATAAATTTGAAAAGCTTCATGGAACTGAGGTAAGTAGGCTTGCAGTATTTGGTCAAGTTGACTCTCCTATATTCGAATCCTTTCTCTTCATACTGAATTTCTTGTTTAACAATTTAAGAGACCGCAGTTTTAGTTGCGACCATGGTCGGGTTAGGTAGATAACGAAGTTACAACCTCATTCTGTTCCATTATGGCGTCTTTCTGTTGGTTTTTCTTGCGATTCGACTCCAATATCAGAAACGAGATTGCATTCACAATATTCAAACTTGTTGACCGATTGACTTATAGCCATGCCTAGTTATGTCACTCCAAGTTGTCTTTATTGTTACCGAGAGGCTATGTAATTTGTTTAACAACTATTTAGAATCACATTTGTACAGAATCGAACTTGCTAATAGGCACTTATTTCTCAAATGAGGCCATTGGAAACTTCTAAAACGTTAACCCTACAAGTTATGTGGCCCTATTTACATGTCACGGTATGACATTATTGATGTGAGCATTCAGGTTCTATTTGGTCACGTCAATTTTGAGTTTGATTTGGAAGATGATAATACACTTGGGAAAATGGTATCTAAAACCGTTCACTATGAATTCAATAAATTGTGGACGGAGAATTCGTCTCTTGAAGAAATTCATGTTGCACAGTACTTATTGATCAGATCTTTAATTACGATATTCGGTCTCGCCACATAAATGTGATTTTTTTCGCCAAAAGAGGGGAATGCAAATTAATTAGATGTATCATAAGTTGGAGATTTTAAATTAGTTGCCAATTCTGTAAGCTTGTGTGATGAGAAGATTGCCTGAGTTCTTTCCATTTTTTCTTTGTTTCTCTGATCCCAAAATAGATTGTTATTTTGCATGTATCATGAGCTATCTTTACTTTTGTGCACTTCAAGTAAATCGAAAAACTCCTTTTATACCCATAGATGTAATTTAAATGTGCTTGTAATTTCGGTGTTATTTTGCATTACCACTTAAAGAAGCGTCAAACGAAAGCCAATTCAGGTGGTGTGCGTGGTGGATTCTTATGCAAGTGAAATCCGATAAAAGGGCTATTAAGACGTAGATCATGAATAAATTTGGTTGTTTTATGTATTTAGTAAAACCTAAATTTTTATGTTTATTGCTGATTGTTGAAGTCTGTAGATCAATTCGGCTCATGCTAATCACATGCTTTATAGGAGTGCGGTTAGGAAATTCAAGGTGCAATGGTATATTGTGGAGTGAGTGTACGACGGTTTGCATGCGATCAATAGCTTCAGCAGAAAGAAGTGTTGAGCCAATGTGTTGCAGCTGAACCGCGCTATGGGGAGGCATGGTGTAGAGTGAGCAAGGATGTTCGCAATTGGAGACTGCGCTCTGCTGACCTACTACCGATGGTGGCCGATTCTCTTCCTATTCCATCCTGAGCTCTTCACGAATTTGCTGAGTCAAAGTTTCGATTCCTCTTGTGTACACCCTTTCTGGGACTGTCTAATACAAAATTTATCTTTCATATGAGTTATACTTCTTTCGATTTAGTCGTCCACTGGATTTCGAGACCGAATTAGACGGAAAAAGAAATAGCCTCTGAAGAGTGTATTTAGTATTATTTATTTGAGTGCTGGTCGGTGTCCCTGGTTTGGAAATCTGCACTACTTTGACATTCGGATAAGAACTATTTGAGAGGGCTGGTTCTGTGTTAGTCCATTCTAATTTACGGAATCAGCACTTCGAAATGAGCTTGATTGAGACCTCTGTAAACTTCATTAGGAGTGACTATTAAGTTATTTCAAATGGCAGACAAAAGATCCAAGTTCAGAAAATCCTAAAAACCTATGATATAGACATCTTCACTATTATGGAAGCAAACCTTTCTGATGGCAAACTAAAATACTACCAGTTCCCAGGTTACACCCTGTACCTTCTACCTAAATACCGGCAAACATTTCGGATGACAAACTGAAGTACTACCAATTCATATCATTTCGGATGACAAACTGAAGTATTACCAATTCCCAGGTTACCCCCTGTACCTCCTGAAGTACTACCAATTCCCAGGTTACACCCTGTGCAATCTGATACCGGCAAGTTGCAAGTGGAATTCTGACTGGAGTTAAACAGATGGACTCACACACTACGATCTAATCAAGAGTATGGGCTCGACACAAGAGACAAGTGGAATTCTAACTGGAGTTAAAGAAGGCCTCACCTCCAGTGGAATTTGAGTTAAACAAGGCCTCACCTCACATTACGATCTAATCAAGAGTATGGGCTCGACACAAGACATATGCGAATTAATCGAATTAAATGTTCGGAAATGTCAAAACCATTTCAAGATATATGCTGTCTATAATTCATCCCAGAATAGTCTCAACTTTGACTTTCTGAACATCTCGCACAAAACTGTTATATAAGGAGGCTTCACCTCCCATTCCACGAATACAAACATAGCTGGAAAGGAAATCGAAGACATGCTAAACATCAACCCTCTGGATCTTATTTACAGCAATGAGGATCTTGCTACATAT